CAGCCAGGTTTTATACCCTGAGAGCTGCTCTCTGCGGGCCACTGTCCTCCCGCTTGGAAGCCACCCAACCCGGGCCCCACTGCCTCCTCCTCCCAAGGGAGGCCTGACCCTCCTCCTTTCCGTCAAGACCCCCCACCTTCCCCATGGCCTTCTCTGTACAGATCTTCTCTTCCCTGCGGGTCCCACCTCTGCAATGGCTGGGAGGCCTCCGAAAATGCCCCCCTGACCCTGGCTTTGCCTAAAGTATCTCCACAATTTGGGAATCCCCAGTCCCTCCACTTCCACCTCTTCTTTGGAGAAATACCCTCCATAAGCCTGACATGACCGCTACAATTTCCTCTACTTAGGAAAAATAGATTGTTCAATCCCACCTCAGCTTACAAAACAAACAAAAAACACAACTTTCCCAAGTGACCCTCGTTATCGGCACAAGCCAGGATACCCCGACCACTACCACTCACTGCCCTTCCCTTCCCAGCCCCTGTGCCTCAGGGCACAGGTTTGCAGCCTCCAACACACCTTTCCAGAGGACTTTTAAAAATTCTAATATCTGGGTCCCACCTGGGAAATTCCTCTTAATTGGCCTGGAGCGGCCAAACATCTAGATTTTTAAAAACTCCCTGGGGAAGTGGAACATGCAGGCCAGGTTAGACCCCCGGTTTAGGATGTGACTCCCTGGCAGTCACATCCCCTCTGACGACCCCATGTCTCCCCAGTCCTGTCTTTGACTCCAAGAGAGCTCCCCACTCTCTCCTTTGCTTAACAAAGTCTTCCAAATCTGGCCCTGCTACCTCTACAACTTAGATTAACTCATAACCATCACATCCTCCTCCATTAGGACCACCCCCCCACCTTGAGCTCCAGAGCGTCTCTGCCTACAACACCTGCTTCCTCCAAACCCCAGTTTCTCTCCATTCAGGAAAGTCCCAATACCTGACCTGTGCACCACCGCTAACCAAAATTAACCCCTGCATGCACCGGCCCTGGTCCTCTGTCCCTGCACCATGGCCCATGCCCTCAGTCCCCATCAGAAGCTCCCCATCTGCATCAGAGAGGATCCCTCGCTTGCTCTGGGTCTCCCAACTCACTTGGAACCCTGCTGTCTTCCAGGTTCAAGGAAGCGCCCTCCCAACTTCTCTTACACCAGGAACAGTCCCCTCACTCTGGCCTGCTAGCTTCACCCTCTTTAGCTCCTAGCATCTCCGCCAAAAGGGAGACCCTCTCCTCTGCCCCCATGGACTGTCTTTCTTGGGAACACCCCCACATCATCCCCCACGGCCATTTCACATGTGCAGGAACTTACAGAGAAGCCCCCAACTTCTTCCAGACTTAAAAAGATCCTCTAATCCACTGCACCCTCAGAAAAATGGGATCTGCAAGACTACAACTCTCTTTTCAACGGGGAACAATTGCCCACTCTGCCCCCCCACTGTCCATTCACTTCTCTCTCTCACAGCTCCCCACCACCATGCCACCATACCCACTCCCCCTGGCCATGTGTCCTTTAGCTGTTTCCACCACTTTCCTAGACTTCTTCCTTAAGTCCCCCTAGAGTAAGGAGCTGGGCAGCCTTACAGGAGGGGAAATCAACCCCCAAACCTAGGTCCCCCTGCAGGGTGACCTTGGCCTCCCAGTTTCCTCTGGCTCTCTGCCCCCCATCAGCTGGCCCCAGACCGGGGTCCTCCCAGGAGGGACTGCTGAGAAAGGTTGTCTAGGGGGGCGTCTCCATAGCAACGGGGCCTAGTGCCCCACACATGTGTTCCCTCCCCCACTGCAACTCCCGCCTGCCCACACAGCCCCCTCCTGGGCCCTGGGCACGCTGGACGTGGTGTCCCTAGCCTCTGTCCTGGCGCTCCGTCTTGGCCCCTTCCTCTCTTTTCTCGCCAGAGCCAGCCCCTCTCCTGCCTCCCGGCCTCTTCTCCCTCTCGGAGCCCCTGGCCCCCAGCGCAGTCACCTCTGCTGTCCTGACTAATCTCTGCTTCCACGGGGTGAGCCTGTGACCCCGGGATGTGCCTCCCCACTGCTGGGCCCCTACCACCTGGGACAGAGAGGAAGGGATGAGGAGGGAAAGGAGGGAATTTCTCCATCAATAAAGATTTGAGGATCTTTTCATTTTGCCAATTTGGGGGACAATCTGTTTGGCTTTAGGGACTCTTCATTGACTCCATCTGCCCCCGGCTGCAAAGGAGGAAGGAACAGGGGACCCTCCAATTCTAAAGCTTCCGGATAGGAGGGGGTCACTGTCCTCTCTTCTGCGGGCCGGCTCCTTTCTCCAGAATTAGGGGGGTCAGAGAGCCTGAATTCTACATCCACCCACCTCCGATTAATAAGAAGATGGTCTCACCTCTGTGATCGATAGGCCAACTCTCCGATGCACTGGGCAGGGATGTCCAGCCCCCCC